ACGAAAAACAATGCTGCCCTTGCCGAGTCTGCGCGTTTCTCCCTTCCGCCAGGCGACATAGACGCCGATCGCCCTGCGACCACAGCAGCTCACGGATGGCCGGCAGCCAACAGTTGCGTAGATATCATCACCCTGAATTTCCCAGACCCTTTGTGTAGTCTATCCAGGAACCCCCCCCCCACCCAGCCCCCCACGCCCCCCACTGCCCCCCCCCCCCCCCCCCCCACCTGCTTCTAGCAGAGAATTCCGGCCTTGCGCAGGCTCATGGCAACTAGTTTCGGAAAGCGGCCCGCAACACCCTTGCCACCTTCCTCAGTGGCTTGAGCCAACGGCCCTTCCTTGTCCCGCCGGCCTCGGGAGCTACCGCAGGCTGACCGGCCAGTCGTCGTGAAGCCAAGAGCAAAGAGATAAGGTGCAGGGGTGCAGCCCCTGCAAGCGCTTGCTTGCGCCACAGTGTGGCCACAATGTGGCCGCGGCGCCTCCCACGCCAGAGAGGAGGGAGGGAGCCCTTTGGGGGGCCTTTGGGAGGCCTTTGGGAGGCCTTTGGGAGGCCTTTGGGAGGCCTTTGGGAGGCCTTTGGGAGGCCTTTGGGAGGCCTTTGGGAGGCCTTTGGGGGCCTTTGGGAGGCCTTTGGGAGGCCTTTGGGAGGCCTTTGGGAGGCCTTTGGGAGGCCTTTGGGAGGCCTTTGGGAGGCCTTTGGGAGGCCTTTGGGGGGCCTTTGGGAGGCCTTTGGGAGGCCTTTGGGAGGCCTTTGGGAGGCCTTTGGGAGCCCTTTGGGAGGCCTTTGGGAGCCCTTTGGGAGGCCTTTGGGAGGCCTTTGGGAGGCCTTTGGGAGGCCTTTGGGGGGCCTTTGGGAGGCCTTTGGGAGGCCTTTGGGAGGCCTTTGGGAGCCCTTTGGGAGCCCTTTGGGAGGCCTTTGGGAGCCCTTTGGGAGGCCTTTGGGAGCCCTTTGGGAGCCCTTTGGGAGGCCTTTGGGAGGCCTTTGGGAGGCCTTTGGGAGGCCTTTGGGAGCCCTTTGGGAGCCCTTTGGGAGCCCTTTGGGAGGCCTTTGAGGGCCCTTTGGGAGCCCTTTGGGAGGCTGTCTGGGGGCACGGTATTTTGGCCGGCTCTTGCACGGCAGCCAAGACCGTCTTGGAAGAGGCGAGGGAGTTGCCAACGCTTCACCCCGCCACCACACGCGACCCGCCGATCGACCGCTGGGGTGGGCAAAAAGGCCGTTGGAGATGGTCGGTTTTGATTTAAGACAATGGCACCCGTTGCTTCAACTGTCTTGCCCGGGGGGGTCAGATTGAACCGGCGACCTCTGCGTTGACGACTTTTGTGAGACGCCCAGCCCAGCGTGTCTCTCAGCGCTTTGGCCGATCGCCATTTCCTGCTTCTGTAGCGGTCAGAAGGCGCAGCGCACTCCGTCACGGAATGCGTGCCCATAAATGACCATAGCGGGGACAGCTAAACAGCCGTGCTGTAGGCGGCTTAATTGCGTCGAGGTCCTTTGACGTACAGCGCCAGAATGCGAAATAACTCGCTGAAATGCGGTATTGACCGCCGTGTAAATTTTAATTTGCCAGGGCTAGGGAAAATATGGTTTATGGGGCAGATCGAAGCCAAGGGCAATTTCGTTTTTTACGACTGCAACAGCTGCTGCTGCTGCTGGTGGTGGTGCTGGTGATTGTCCAATATTGCGTCTGTTGAAAGGGAACCGTGAATTCTGGTGACATTGTGCATCTTGTGTTTCTACTTTCAACAGTGGCCATGCTTTCAAACAAAAAAATATCTCGCCAAACAAGGGTACGAAACATTTCGTCTGCGGTCAAGAGGTTTTAGCAGCAATAAAACAAAAATCGGCGAGCAAAACCTTTTTTACGGAACGGTTATTTTTAAACTGATTTTGGGGAAAACCACAATTTTGGAAATTGTAAAATAACAAATTTTTTTTTTACAAAAAATGGAGGAGGCGCCGCTGCTGCTGCTGCAGCCACGACAGTGGTGCATCGGTTATGGCAGAGCGCTGGACTTGCAAACCAGAGGTGCGTGGGTTCGATCCCATCTCTGGGCATCGCAGTTGAAACGCCGTTGCAAATTTCCTTTGCAGACCTCCACCACCACCCGGAATGAGAATCTGTATTTCGATCAGCTATAAAGCTCTTTCACAGATGTCAAGTAGGGGCACGGGGTCACAACGTTACAACAACAAACAATACCAACACACGATCGGAGTGCAAAGTATAGGAAAAGTGAACAAAATCACTTGAACAACAAATATATCCAAATAAAACTACGTTATTTTTTATCTTACCAGGTAAAGCCCACTGAGCTATTAACTTATTTTTCCAGATATGACTTGGCCACAAATGATAGCTCAACAAAGTGGCTTGTCACGTGGAAACGTTCACCTGTTAGTCTAGAATCGGCAGGCTGCGTGCGGTTGGGGTAAAGTTTGGGTACTCCCACGACAGCCAAGACATTGGCCAGTGTGGAAGAGTAGGCCAAAAACTCTCCTCCAGTGCTGGGGAGCTCTGGAGTACACCCTCTGCCAAGCGCGGAGGCTTTTTTGCACCAGCAGCAGTGCGGGCGAACAATTGCAGGGCCTGCGCCTCTGCCACCTTTCGTTAAAAGCAACCGGGCAGACCGATAAGGCTGCGTGGTGGAACCGTGTGCCAGTCGGTGTGCTGTGGGTGGACTGCTTCCCATACATGGGTAACTGCTCCTTGCGGGACTTTGCCCATATTTGGGCTTCTGCTGGGCTACGTTTCCTAAAGGGCGGTTGGTTTTTTGGAGTGCGAGGGTGTGCTCGTGTGCGTTTGTGCGAAGTCTGGCGAGCGATGGAGTGTAGCGGATAGCGCGCGCGGCTACCCGAGTCCGATTCACGCTCGCGGCGACGATTATCTGGACCGGTCCTGGGCCTCCCCCTAGGTCGACTCGGCCTCAAATGAGTACTGGGTGCGGTGTGTAAACAGGGCGTGGTGCTGGCCACCCACCCCCTCGTGTGCCGTGCGGTCTTTCATAGGTGCTTCTCGCTAACAGAACTTGCCCCAAAAAGTCTGTTAAGGCTTTCCGGGGATGGGGCGGGCGGTGATCTTTGTCTTGTGTAGTCTGCCCCCCTGAGCGGGGCCTGTACGTTGTTGTTGGCTGCGGTGGTAGCAGAGGTCGCAAACGGGTTTTGATTCCTTACCCGTACCCGTCCGCACCAGGGTCGCAAATGGATACCCGTACCCAGCCGGGTACGGGTACTCGTTCCCTACCCGTACCCTACCCGAAATGAGTGACAAACGGTGACTCACCAGTGACTCACGGCCTACCCGTACCCGGCCGCACCAGGGTCGCAAACGGGTACCCGTACCCGGCTGGGTACGGGTAGCCGGGTATCGGGTAGGGTATGGGTATCGGGTACCCGATTGCGACCTCTGGGTGGTAGATTCAGTCAGCATTTTCAGTCGGCATTTTTTCTCGTACTATTCGGCCAAAGAGCTTCCCTACAGTCGAGACGGACAAGTGGCATTAGCCCGGTCGGCGAAACGTGCGCGCAGGCTGGGAACGAGGGTAAATGATACCCCGGCGAGTGCTGATTTGAAGAGAGCAGGCGGTGGTGCAACTGTGAGCGGGTTTAATTCACTCGGCAGCTTTAGTTTCGGTCGAAGCGAAGATAAACTTCTTCTTGGTTCTTTCGGTAAAGTCACGTAGAAGGGAAGTAATAAAATAATAAAAATAAAACATAATAAAATAATTCTCACGACGTTTCGGCCACAACGCAAGCAGCCGTCCTCAGGTGAAGACCAGGTCTGTACGTGACTTTACCGAAAGAACCAAGAAGATCAATCCCTGCAGTCACGAAAGCTTTAAATCGAAGATAAACTGTAAAGTTTTTTAGTGGCTTTCATTCGGTCATTTTCTTAGTTTGGTCAACCGATGCAGTCCAGAGCTTAGTCGGGACATATTTAACGTGGTAGACGTGCCAACGTTCAACCAACGTTGGAATTTGGTTTGAAACGTTGGGCTCACTTTTGAATGTGGTTGGAAATGGTTAAAATGGTTTGCCCAACGTTCTATGCTCACTGGGCAGTTATGAAATGTTGATGTCAGGGGGTGTCCAATATTTCACACTCCCCTCCGCCATTATAAGCAGAATATCTTCACCCCCCGTCATATAAATGTGGAATTTCCACCACCGGCTCAGGATGGCTGTAAACGGGAGATGAGCACCCTCGATCCTCATTTGTGCGGCAGGAGATGACTTTGTGCCTTTTGTTTCGGTATGCCGAACTCTTATCTGCGATATCCTGGGGGTGGTGGGGGGGGATATCCGGAAATGTTTCCCTTGCGGATGAACGGAGTAAAATTTTCAGATCATAGGATGAGCCACAATATCGCTCCCCCATGTCACCGCTGATAAGAGTATCCCACACCACATGTACAGTACAGGCAGTCCCCGGCTTACGGACGTCCTACTTCTGAACATCCGCGTTTCCGAAACGGGCTTCCATAAAATATTTTATTTTTTAACCATCCCACTTGCGGACCTAGCCTCGGAACTATTTACTGCGTTGCGTGCAAACGTACGACATCGCTTGTTATTTACGAGTTTAACAATGCTTCCCCTTTTTTTTCTTGAGCCCTCGCCCATTTTATAGCAGGCAGTCCGTGGATTTACCGCATGTCGATTTAAATACGGCACATTATTTAGTTCCGACTCGCGAACCGTTTGACTCGCGAACGGCTCTCCGGAACGGAACCCGTTCGTAAGTCGGGGACTCGCTAACGTCTTTCGGGGACCGGTCTCGTTCGTAAGTCGGGGACTGGCGAACGGGTCTGGGGAACCAACCCCGTTCGTAAGCCGGGGACTCTCGAACGGCTTTCGGGAACTGGCCCGTTCGTAAGTCGGGGACTCTCCGTGCTCTGATGTCGTTGATGTTCCGTAAATCCGGGATGTGGCTCCGGGCCGTGGCTACCGCGTGTTTGACTTTCGACCTGCCCGCCCGCCCGCTCGCTCGCTCTCCCGCCAGATCAAGAAGCAGCAGCAGGACGTGCTGGGCTTCCTGCAGGTGAACAAGATCGAGTTCGAGGAGTGCGACATCGTCGTGAGCGACGACAACAAGCGCTACATGCGCGAGCACGTGCCGCGCGACCACTGCCCCACCAGCGGCGTGCCGCTGCCTCCGCAGATCTTCAACGGCGAGTCCTACCTCGGGGTGAGCGTGTGTGTATGTCCAGAATCTAGACACGTTCGCATCGATGAGCTCCTCCGGCAGGCAAGGTTGCATTGGCCGGGTCATGTAGCCCGCATGCCCATCCACCGGATGCTCAAGCAGCTTCTGTTTGGCTGGATAGAGGGGGCTAAACAGGCACGACACAGGCTGGAGAAGAGATGGACTGATGCAGTACGGGGAAATATGGAGCGGAGTCGACTTGCCGATGACCGGTACCAGCGGTGTCAAGATCGGCCTCTGTGGAGGAGGCTCGTGAAAGGACGTGCATGGGCAGTTGGAGGCAGTCGCCCTCCAACACAACGGAGGGCGGAGGAGCGACGCTCACACAACGAGCGGAGCGCCGGGAGGCTAAAGCACAGCAAGTTGGCACAGTAGGGGGCACAGTAGGGGGCACAGGTGGTGCATCAGCCAGTCTTCTCAGTCAGTCGACCCGTGGCACCTGCTGGGTCTGCCCCGTGACCTCCTGCTAGCGGGCGTTCGACACTTCACGTGGCCTCAAGGTGCACATAGCCTGGCACAAGCGTCGTGGTGACGTCCCCGTCACTTAGTGGCGAATGCGGTTTTTTGTTGTTGAGTAGGTGGATGGGTGGGTGAGTCGGTGGATGGGTGGGTAGTGGGTGGTGGGTGGTTGAGCTGGGTGGGTGGGGTGGTGAGTGGGTGGGTGGGGTGGGTGAGTGGGTGGGTGGTGGTGTGAGTGGGTGGGTGAGTGTTGAGTGGGTGGGTGAGTGGTTGAGTGGGGTGGGTGAGTGGGTGGGTGAGTGGTTGAGTGGGGGTGGGTGAGTGGGGTGGAGGGGGTGGTGAGTGGGTGGATGATGGGTGGTGGAGTGGGTGAGTGGGTGGGTGAGTGGGGTGGATGAGTGGGTGGGTGGGTGGGTGGATGAGTGGGTGGGTGGGTGGGTGGATGAGTGGGTGGGTGGGTGGATGAGTGGGTGGGTGGGTGGATGAGTGGGTGAGTGAGTGGCTGTGTACTTGGCCGCCACTTGTAAACCCAGCACTGCGGACGCAGCAGCGAGGGGTTGGTGGACCGCCGCACGGATCTTGTGAAACTGCCTTCCCGTGAGTGTCGAGAACGAGGCCCTTTACCGGGGACTCTGCCGGGAGAAGGCGTCACCGCAGGAACGTGGACTACTTCTGTCTGTACGGGGATCGAGTGTTCCCCCCTCGCCACACTGCGTGGGTTTTCTCCCACGTGAAAAAATTGGCCGTTTTAACACCTGAACATATAGAGGACTGCAGAGCTTGGGCGATTGTTGGTAGCGCCAGCTCCTCATTGAGTCGCTGCTGCTGCTGCCTTCCCACTCCCCGTCTGTGGTTCCTCCCGCGTCTTTCCCGAGTCTCTCTCTGGATACTCTGCGACGACGACGGCCGAAGGTGCGGCGTAAACGCGGCAGACATTGTAATAGCAATCATTTCTCATTATTATTATTGTAACGAGCGAGCGGAAGACTGGGCGCGGTTCCGCTGCGGACGTTATAAATCAAAACAAAACAAACAGACCACGCCAGGGTTCCACGCTGTTGAGTGCTTTCCCGTTCGTCCCCCCCCACCACCCCGCCACCACCCCCACCACCCCCCCACCAACCCCACACCACACCCCCCCCAACCACCCCCACTACACCCCCCCACCACCCCCCCAACACCCCCCCACCACCGCACCCACCACCGCCCCACCCACCCCCCCACCACCCCCCCAACACCCCCCCAACACCCACCCCACCACCTGCCCCCAATCCCCACCACCCCCCCAACACTCTCGAGAGATTTGCTCCGCGCTGTCTGTTTCAGGACTACGAGTCGTCTTTCGACGCCAAGGAGAACAACGCCGTGTTCACGTTCCTCGGCCTCACTCCCCCGCCCGGTTCAAAGGTCAGCGAGCGTGCGGGCACATAAACCAAACCCGCACCACCGCCACCGCGCGAGTCGTCATTGTCATCAGCGTCGTCATTGTCGTCATCATTGTCGTCGTCGTCATCAATGTCGTCGTCGTTATCATTGTCATCGTCATTGTCGTCGTCGCCGACGTTGTCATCGTTGTCATCATCGACGTCATCATCATCTATTTTAAACGGCAAACGGTGGGGGGCTGTGTTGCATGAACCCCAAGGCTCTAGGGCAGGAGGTGAGCCAGCCAGGTTGGCGGGGGCAGTCAGAGACTGAGCACATCTGGTGCTACTGAGATCTGGGGGGGGGATGCAGGGGGGTGTGGGCATCATCCAGCAGTGGATTGATCTCGGCTTGTGGCAGCGGTGGTGGTGGTGACGGTGGTGGTGGTGGTGTATTTTCAGGAGGCAGAGGCTCTGGCTCGGCAGTAGCCGTGGACGGGGTCTGGTGCCCCCCGCTGGGAGCTGCTCCACATTCCCTCGCGGCTTCCGGTGGAAGATTCCTCGGGGGAATCCTCCGGCATTCCGCACAGAAGAAACCCAGACGGAATTCCTCGTGGAACAAGAAAATCCCAACCCTTCTTTTTGATCCTCTGTAAGGATTTCGTTGTTTTGTTGTTGTTGTTGTTGTTGCCGTTGTCGTCGTCGTTGTTGTTGTTGCAAGTTTACCCGTGCTGATATTTAACGAGCAAATGACAAACGTTTTGGTACGCGCGGCCGCGCGCGTTCACCTGTAATACACACACGCGCACACGCCACACACACTCAACGCTTGTCACCGTGACAGCTCCCTTCGCCAAGAGACAAAACGTCTCCCGTGTAGCCCCAACAGAAGATTGAGCAAACCGCTTGTCGTAAGGTAGCGAGTCTCGATGGGCACCTTTAGGAGGCCGGCACAGCGCACGAGGTGGTGGCGTTGTGGCCGGCACCACGCCCGGCCGCATTAACCGCTCGTGTTTACACACTGCACCAAGGTACTCTTCTTTTTGTTTAAAGGTTGAATTGACGTAGGGGAGGCCCAGGTCAACCGTGGCCAGAACTGGAACTCGGGATGCCAAGTACATATCGCAGTGCCCTCTCCGTGAGGCTACCACTCCACCCACGTGACCATACGCAGAACGCTCATATTTCCTACACAGACTACTGGGACAATTCCTGTTCGGGACTACAAAGATAAAAGACAAAGATCCCCCGTATAGCCTTCACAGACTTTTGTGGCGAGTGCTGTTAGCGAATAGCATCGATGAAGGCCGGCACGGCACGTGATGGAGTGGGGGGCCAGCACCACGCCCGGCTGCCTTTGTCTCCTTAGTGCCGATGTGTGCACACCACACCCAGGTACTCAACGAAGCTAGTGGGGAGGCCAAGCACCTGTTTAGATAATCATCACTCGCGTTGGCCACGAGCTGGAATCAAACTTGTGTCACCGGGTTCGTAGCGCAGCACGCTGACCACTGCGTCGACACACACACGCACATTGTGAAATGTTCACCAATGTCAGATTAACGCGCAGGCTTTCGCGACCCACAACCACCATCGTCAGGTGACAGCCACATTTGTGTTTCACCGATGCCTTGACGCTTGTGTTGTTTGTTCGAGGCTGTCGGCGCCATCGGTTAGTCAACGGCGAAGCCGCGAGTCTCGGCAGCGCAGTCCCATTCGTTCATTGGCCCCCACACGCCACGGCTATCTCCGAGATACGCAGCAATGAGCGGTAGCGTACAGATACGAAACAACAATTACCCCCGTATAGCCTTGACATACTGTCAGGCGGGGCACGTGCTGTTCGCGAGCAGCTCCTATGAAGGCCGGCACCACGCACCCTCCGCCCCACCACCTTTTGTTTCCCGAGTGGCGATGTTTGCAGATTGCACCAGGTACGCGTTTTAGTCCGAGTC